GGAAGCAGCAGCAGCACCAGCAGCATCATGCAGCAGCAGTAGGGGCAGCGTTGTCAGCAGCAGCAATAGCAGCAGCAGCAGCAAGGGGAAGCATCTTTGTCTTTTAGCAGCAATGCACGCAGTAGGCGATTGTGATGTTTTTTCAGCAGTACATCATGTTTTACGTTGTAATAATGCTTGCTGCTGCTGCTGCTGCTGCTGCTGCTGCAGCCAGTAGTTAAAGCTGTTTGCTGCTGCTGCTGCTGCTGCTGCTGCTGCCGTTACCGCTGGATTGACCGTATAAACAGACACTTCTTATAAAGGGAGTTGTGTCACTTTCCTCTGTCATAAAAATAATCATTTAGTTTATTAATAATAAAAATTAAAAAGTTGCTTATCTAGGTACTCTTACCGGTACATATATGCATTTATTTATATGCACATTTGCATATAATTGTATATAATTGTATTTAATTACATTTAATTGTATTTAAATAGTTTAATTAAGATAACTGCAGAGATCAGTGCATTGAAGTGTGTGAAGGAGAGGAAAGAAAGTCGAGGTATTGCTAGGGAGGAAGATAACTAACTATCTATTTCTGCATTAGTTACAGTTTAGTACAGAGTTAACCACCAGAGACGGACGGGAAAAAGTATTTTAAATAGTGTGTAGGGAACTGTATATCAATAAACAAGAAACGCAACAGAACATGAAAAGGAAAAAGAATGGAGACGCGGGGACTTACAGTTTTTTTGTTGCCTTTTGCAAGTTCCTTGAGTATCCTCTCGTGCTTCTCCGCTTCGTACGAAAGAAGGAGACGAAATACAGAATAAATAACAATAAAATGATGGTAGGAATGTTGTTATTGTTGTCCTTTTGTTTTTCTTTATTTTGTTGGTGTGCAACGTTAAAAGAAGAAAGAAAAGAACGGAGATTTCATAGAAATGGAAAAAATGAATGTAGAAGAAGTTCATGAATGTGTAGAAAGCTACAAAATTCAGGTGTCTCGACAGGTCGGGCGAGTGTGCAGACGAGGAGGAAAGCTGGGGAATAAACGCCTATTTACGTAGCTCTTGATCTCCTTTTCATGAATATATGGAGGAAAGAGCTGAATTGTTTAGCTAATTTATAAAAATAGATAAAAAAGATGTATTTGTCTGGTTACCTCCCCGTTCCGGTCTACCCAGGGACCGTCGGCGCTCACTCGGACACCATCAAGGCGAGCAGCTCGAGGCATCGGCAGCCGTCACGTTCGTTTATTTCCTGCTCTTTTCTATTTATTGCAGCATAATAATGTTAATCACTTCTTGGCAATTCATAAAAATGGTCTATTATACACCCTTTGACGACAATAAAGCTCTCCTTCCTTCTGCATATCGGGCTGGGGCTCGGCTCCTTTAGGAATGCTCTTGCTGCTGATCTTCGTTTATTAATTGGGTATCACCCCTTTATTTGTCTTTTATTTCCTTTTTTGTCCTTCTTCTACTCCTCAAAGATCCATTTTCTTGCAACTTTGCCTCCTCTCCCCTCAGACGCTGCGGATCTTCTATCTGTATATATACAAGCACGGTCCGGCGTCTCTCTCGACTTGTGCTCTGTAGGCTATCCTTGATAAAGGATTTCTTTCTTTTCTTCCCTCTTGTCTTTATTTTTATTTTTTATTTTCTTCCTATAAGTCTTATAGCCGATTTTAAGGACCAGGAAGAGAGTCTTGTTGCTGCTTGGTCGTCGATTTCCTTTGCAGAGAGCATGCTCTTTGCATGCATACATATATATACAGCCACAGCTGAATGCATGCAGATACATGTATGCATGCATGCATGCAGACTGCATGCATGCAGATACATGCATGCACAAGGCATAAAGACTAAAGAAGAAGAAAGCTGCATGCGCAGTGTATATACACCATGGCATCAAGAGCAGCAGATTACTACGAGCTATATAAGCCGTCAGGAGGGTGCCGCTCATCATCAACCCCGTCAGCAGCAGCAGCAACAGCAGGAGATGGAGGAGGAGGAGCATCAGGAAGAGGATATCTATGGCAGCTGCAGCAGCACGCATGGGTACCTCTTGGCTTGCTGCTGCTGCTAGGACCAAGTGCTAAGGAGTTTGCCTCCTTAAGGGGTAAGCTATGGCTAGCTAGCTAGCTAGCTAACTCTCTCTATTTCCTTACATGGCTACCTGTGCTGCTGCTGCTGTCTAGCTGTGTGGTTGCTGCTGGCTAGCAGCGCGGCTGCTACTAGCTAGCTACATGTGTGCATAGCTAGCTAGCTGTGTGGCTGCTGCTGGCTAGCTGTGTGGCTGCTGCTGGCTAGCTGTGGGGTTGCTGCTGGCTAGCTGCCCAGCTAGCTAGCAGTACCCCCACAGTAAGGGAGAGACAGTGTATATTTATTATATAAATAATAATAAATTATTATTTATTAAATAATTAATTATTAAATAAATAAATAATAAATAAATAATTAATTAATAATAGTTTATTATTATATTATTACTAATTATATTATTAGTAATTATATAATTACTAATTATATAGTTAATAAATATATCCAATAAATAACTATTAATTAAATAATTAATAATTAAATAACTAATTATTAAATAAATAAATTAATAATTATTAATTAATTAATTAATTAATTAATTAATAATTTATTGTTTGTTTATTTGTATGTGTAGATGGCGAATGGATATCCGTGCAGCAACAAGGCCAAAAGGGAAACAACCAAGATGTTAGCCAGTTGCTGCTGCTGCTGCTGCTGCTGCTGCTGCTGCTGCTGCTGCTGAGGGTATCTGGGATAGAGCGAGGCTGCATTGTCCTGTTTCATGTGCTGTTGCTGCATGAGTTGGTGCTGCTGCACCAGCACCAGCTGCTGCTGCTGCTGCTGCTGCTGCTGCTGCATAAATGTTATTGCCTCCTTGTGTGTGTCTCTTTCTCCTTGTGTGTATAGAGTCAAGATGCTGCTGCTGCTGCTGCTGCTGCAGCAGGAGAGAAGGAAGGGAAGAGACAATCGATGGATTTAGCAGCACAACTTCGCTATGCATGCGCAGCAGGAAAAAGACTTGATGCATGCAAACTCCCTACCTACAAATACACCCCATCTGCTGCTGCTGCTGCTAATGGCCACGCAAGGAGGCAATGGGGTGTACAGGCACCTCCTGGTGTTGAATCCGCTTGCTTTTGTGTATGGGTTAATCTAAGGCAAGCTGCTGGTGCTTCTCTGCTGCTGTGCTGCTGCTGCGCTGCTGCAGTCCTGCTCTGCTTGTCTTTTGCTGTGCTGCTGTTGCTGCTGCTGCTGCTGCTGCTGCTATAAGCATTATTATAATAATTATTATATATTTATGTTTATGTGCATGCAGCGACTGTCTCCGTTCTTCTTCATCAAGAGAGTCTCCTGTCTCCTTTTCTGTCTCCTGGGCAGAAGCCTTCGTGCTGCAGCATTTGCTGCCTCTTTCTTTCCCGCTGCAGCACGTGCAGCAGCTGCTGCATGCAGCCCCACCATTATTAACACCTGTAGCCCTTTCCTTAATAGCTAGATTAACTGTGCATGCACAAACTAATAAAATAAATAAAATGTGGGGTGCAGCAGCAGCAGATTTAGCAGCAGATACAGCAGCAGCAACAGCAGCAGCAACAGCAGCAGCAACGGCAGCAAACAGCAGCAATAATAATACATCTATTAGTTGGCGTGCTGCTGTTAATGCAGTAGCAGCAGCAACAGACACACAAGAATGGAGACATTTCTTAGTATTTGCTGCTGCACTCCTTGAGTCTGCGCTTCCTCCTGGACACCTGCAGCAGCAACTGCAGCAACTGCAGCAGCATCAACAGCAGCAGCAGCAGCAGCAGCAGCAATCAACGTCAACAGAAGGAGGGCATCCAGGACTCCTCAGCTCACCGCTCTCTCCCCGTCAGCAGCAGCAGCAGCAGCAGCAGCAGGGTATATATGGTCTATCTTATCAGCAGCAGCAGCTACAATTGAATCGTTATTGTAGTCGTGAATGGTTGCATGCAGTAGAGGTATCGTTGCTGCAGGGTTGGGGTGTATGCGGAGGTTGGGGCTGCTGCTATCATTGCTGCTGCGCACCATTAACAGCAACAATTAGTAAACATTTTGATTTTGCTGCTGCTAGGGGATGGGAGGTTAAGGTAGATCCTGCTGCTGCTGCTGCTGCTGCTGATGGTACTCCTGCTGCTGCTGCTGCTGCTGCTGCATTCCCACAACTACTTGCCGTTACACAACAATACAGAAACTATCAAAGACGCAAAGTGCAGCAGCAACTGCAGCAGCAGCAGCAACAGCAGCAGCAACAAGAGCAGCAGCAGCAGGAGGAGCAGCAGGGTAAGGAGGAGGAGGAGCGTGAGGAAATAATAAGGAGGGGTAGATATAAATCATCTATTTGCTGCTGCTGCTGCTGTATATTATGCAGATTATCTTGTATAAATATACAACGTATATTATGTTTTCTTGATCCTTTTTCTCTCTCCTCCTTCGGGTGTACATGCACCTCTCATTGGTTTATT